TGAATGCTCCAAGAGAAATATATTGCATCAGGATATAAAAATGGAGAATGTCCTCATTGATCTGGATACGGGAGTCGCCAAGCTCATTGATTTCGGGTTGGGCAGATTCTTCAATGATCCCGATGAGCTTATTCACTCGTATCGTGGTAAGACTTTAAGCTTTACAATTTACATCTTATGTTCAAAGGCTTTCTTGCTTAATTCTCAGCCACTAGTTTGGGATAGGCAAATTACTTAAGTCTATGATATTTTAGGCACGTTTTACAGCGCACCACCAGAATGGTTTAAAGAGGGAAAATTTAACGGCCTGAAAGCCGCCATTTGGTCACTGGGGATCCTACTGTATTCTATGATGACGAGCTGTGATCCATTCGCTGTTAACGAGGAGAACGTCCCACTTCATGACACGTTCAGAGTGCGTGGTGATCTTCCAGAAGGTAATTTTTTTTATTCAAAATAACGGAGCACCTCTAGTCAGTGGTAAGTTGATCAAATGTCATTAGACGTCCAGCATTTCTTAGCAGTATTATTTGCAGGTGCCCAGAGATTATTGTCACGGTGCTTGGCAGTGGATCCAGCCGAGAGGCCAACACTGCAGGAAATTTTCAATGACACATTTTTGGTGGATGCCCCAAAACCGCCGCTGCCACGTGAGCTGATAGAGAATGGTGGTGTGCGAAGAGAAAAAGTGTTGTAAATTATTCTATATTTTTATTTTTTTTGTTTGTCAGTAACGTATTTAAGAATAATATTTGGAATTCCTGTCATGGCTAAACCTCATCGTTTTCTTTCTACTTGTTTCTCTTTTTCTTTTCGTGATAGCACCGGTTTATTACTAAGTGATTTCAGTTTTATGTATAGAATGGGAGCATCATAGCATTATATCATATTTCCTCTCTTACTTTTCTTATTTTCACTTCCTCTCCAGAATTTTATTGCCGAATAATGTTTTTTTGAATGTTGTAAATAGCTGAAAAAAAAGCACTTGTATAGTTATTGCCTAATTTTTTTTCTGTATTTGTTCAAGCAATGTTTTAAGTGATAAAATCAAACAAAAAATGCATTCGAGCTTTAGATTGACATCATTGTTATAAATCAAAGAGGATATTCTTTTTTCCTACGCACAGATGCATTTTTAAAGTGGTAAGAGGTTTACAACGCTCCCAAAGATTGTACCTTGTTCCACCATACCCAAATATTTGTGCTGTCTACAGAAGGATAGAAAGTTTTTAACAATGTTGACAGCGCAAAACTTTTCTAGTTCTTTCAATAATTTATTTCTGTTATGAAATCTAGAGTAGAACATTAAAATTCATAAGGCATTCAATTATTGACGGTGAAACTGTTTTT